CTTGGATAAGGAAACGGTGAAGAATTGTGTGCAGAAAAGAACTCAAAAGTTCAGAAACATCCCCAGAACTTGTTGCTTATTGTATCTGTACTAAGAATTTACTCTGGGGCTGGAGCAATAGTACAGCAGGTAGAGCACTCACCTTGCATGTGGCTCACCTGGATATTCCTGGCATCCCATACGGTCCCCCAAGTCTGTCAGAGTGCAGAGCCCCCTGAGTGCAGAGCCAGGAGAAAGCCCTAGCACAGTCAGGTGTGGCCCCCAATCCAATAAATAAAAGGAATTTATTTCACATCAGCATTGAACAGGGCCTTGCATCTGGTGAAACAGTTTTTGGTTGGTTGGATCTGCCAGGGCAGCAACCAAGAGCGTCTGAGAGAAGGCTATTAGGAGACTGCCTTGAGTGAACAGGGGCTGAGCAGGTCCTTGGGTCTGAGACTGGAAGGTTGGTGATGGATTTTGGGTCTGCGCAGAGGCCAGAGAACCCGGGCTCAGGGCATGCATTCCGGTCCAGACGCAGGCAGACACTGGTATCTGAGCTGCAGACCTGTGTGAAATTTCCTCGCTCTGTGTTCTTTCAGGTAGGCCACCCGCAGATGAATGGGCCACAGGGGAGGGCCATGCACAGTGGCCATGGGACCCTCCAGCCAGAGTCCTCACAGTTTACTCTTTCCCCACACCTAGTCCCTCTCGTAGTGAAAGCTGAACTCCAACTCAAAGAAACGGCCACTTTTCTCTAGGTGCCGCCTCCATGTCCTCTCCATACTGTTCCTGCAGCGCTTCCTGCCAGGGTCCAAGGGCCAGCCAAGGCCCTCCACACCCATATTTGTCAGAGCAGGAATCTCAGGACGCAGGTTTCGGTCCAGGTGGGCACGAAAATGGCCCTGAGGATCTGTTTGGATGGGCACAGACACGGCCCTGTGGTCTGTCTGGGTGGGCATGGGCACGGCCCTGCGGGTCTGTGTTAGGGTTCAAAGCTGTGTGCCAGAAAGCTCCCAGGGGCCAGGCCCTACATTCCATTGCCAGGGTCATCAGCAATGATGCTGCAGGCAGAAGGCAGGGTCAGGGAGATCCTGCCCAGCAGCGCCCTGCAAGCCTCCTGGAGTGCCCCAACTTCCCTCCTCGAGCCTGCAGACTCCAGGAAGCACAGAGCAGGGGTGGTGCCTGTTGGCCAAGGGGCCTTTGCCGGCCTCCAGTCTCATGGTGCCTCTTTGGGGCATCTCTTACTCACAAACTTCCTGAGCCCTGCCCTGGGCCATGGAGCAGCTGGAGCCTAGCCTCTGTCCACGCGGCTGGTCTCAGTGGCAGGCCAGTGGCAGCAGACCCAGACCTTCCTGCTGCCCTCCCAGCGCCCCCTCTGGGTGACACAGCTGGCATGAAGCAGATGCTGTGGACTGGTGCTCAGCTGGTGAAGGTCACACCAAAGCAAGCCCAAGCCAGCACCGAGGGAGGCCTGCTCTGTGGAGCACAAGTTCAGCACCATTGCTATCTCCCTCCTGCCCAGGCTGCAGGAGGAGAATCCAGGCTGGTGATGGGCTCTGGGAGACAAAGCCGCTGCTCCCAGCTGCCCCCTTCTGTACACCTGCATTTTCCACAGTACCAGCCTGGGGGATGCGAGCCAGGGCCCCTCTCACGCCCCAGGAGTGAAGGGGCAGCTGAATCTCAGGATGCAGGGGTACCCGGGCCAGGAAGGCCAATCAGCTTCTCCTCTGCTTCCACTGCAGCGCGCCTGCCCACAGGGCCCCGGGTCTGGCCACCCGGGCTGGCTGCCGTCAGCTGTCCTGGCTCTATGCTTGTTTCCAGAGGAGGGACATGGCAGGCAATGCCAGGCCTGTCTTTGGCACTAGCCCTGTCGGCCTTTGTTCCCTCATCCTCCCGTGGGTAGCCCTGACAGGAGAACCCCGCAGCCCGGCATAGAGAATCCAGCCTCCATGCTCCTCGCCGCCACACCAATTGCCATGGATGCTGGCCTGGCTCCTGGCTGCTGTATTGTCCCGTAGACAACTGCTGGGAAGGGCTGGCTCTGCGGCCCCCAGTCTGACGCACAGCCCCCCCCCTCAATCCCCACCCCTCCACCGTTAGCCCACATGCAGAGCCAGGCCTGATTCTCTGCGGGCTCTCCTGCCACCCCTGAGCTCTGGCATTTGAGGCATTGTCCATGGTCACAGGGTGGGCTCACACAGTGCCCCCTGCTGCTGGGCTGGGGAATGTCGCCCCCCAACCCCACCCCAGCCAGGATAACGGTCATTTCTTGGTGTCACACCCCCTGCCATCCTGCAACCAATGCCACGAGGTGTCCTTGGGACCTCCCCAAAGCCTTCCATCCACCTGCAGCCTCATGTCGTGTCCTCCCTAGAAGGGGTGCAACTCGGACACCTGGGACGGCAATGATGATGGCAGGCAAACACATCCATCAGTTTTCAATCTGGGGCCTGCCCCCAAGGCTGCTACTGCAGAAACATGGGGGTATGGGGGGCTTTGGGAGGAGCCGATATGGGAACTGATGAGTCATCTGGTCAACCCCAGGATCTCCTACTCTTCCCTCTCTCCTGAACACCGCAAAGTTACCCTTGGATGGAAACGGGGTCAGAGGTCAAAGCTGCTCTGGGCCCATAAGGTCTGAGCTGGGTCAAATGATCAGCACTTCAGGGACATTGAGCAGCAGGGCGCAGCTGGTAGGCCTCTCTCCTGTACCCACACGAACCCGAGTCCTTCTCAGGCCCCTGGTCTCTCCACCCTGTTCCCACCCTCTGTCCGGCAGTACTGGCCGAGGGAACAGAGGCAGGATGGTTACTGACCCCCCACCCCCCATTCCTGCTTCCTGCACTTTGCCCCCAGCAGCTGCTGTGTGCCCTGGGTCTGACCCTGCACATTTGCTCTCGATCCTGCCTCTGTTCCCCAGACTCTGCTGCTTTCTTGGATTTGGCCTTGGGCTCCACTGGTCTCCCCGGCACACCACAAGTGCCGCTTTTCCCCAGAAAGACCCCACCCCTGAATGCTGACACCCCCCCCCCAAAGCGATTTTGCCAACACCTCCCTGTGACCATGCCATGCCAGGCTCCCTGCAGGCCGGGCGTGGTCCTGGCCTCCAGTCCTGGGCCTGATGCTGTCCTCCCAGCCTCAGCTTCTGTTCCTGCCAAATGCAGGATCCACCCTCCCCTGGGAAGAGCTGCTCTGACCAGCACAGTTCCCTCACGCTGGCCCCGGTGCTCCCCTCCTAGGCCCCCATGGGGGTGAGAAGAGGTGTGGATGTTCAGTAGGGAGAGAAATGGTGTGAGGATGTGTGGGAGCCCCCAGCGCTGCCCCACCCCTATGTCTGGCCTGCCCGTGCCCTTCCCAGCACTGGGCCTTTCTTCAACCTCAGTGAGCTGTGGGGTCTGGAAGATCTGGCCCAGGCTGCCCCAGGCCGAGGGCCTCTCAAGGGTGCCTGGGAGGCCAGGCAGGTTGGGAGCAGCCAGAGAAACACTCTGGGCCAAGGGCCAGCCTAAAGGCTTTGATTTTTGGTTTTATTTTGGGGTCACACTTGAAGTGCTCAGGGCTGACTCTGAGACTCTTGGCACTCAGAAATCGCTCCTGGTGGTGCTCAGGGGAACGTATTCCGTCCCTGACCTGGGGACAGAACCCAGGTCGGCCACATGCAAGTTAAGCGCCTTCCTGCTGCTCCAGCCTGGCCCAAACGCTTTGTCTGACTCACTACCACGTGAACTGAGACCTCCCCAGCCTGTCTCTGCCTGTCATACATTCTGTTTTCTGGAGCTTCACCCAGCGGTGCTCAGGGCTGACTCCTGACCGGCTCAGGGACCATATGGGGTGCTGTGCTGGGGATCAAACTGGGTCAACCTCATGCAAGGCAAACCTGCTGTACTATGGCTCTGGTCCCTCTGGGTCATTTGTGAAGTAACCGCCTGTGACTGTCCACACAGTGAAGACAACAGAAGCACAGTGAGCTCTGGGGCTACGGACAGGGCAGGCCAAGCCAGCGAGGAGAGGACGGGTCAGGAGTGTGGGGACAGTCAGTAGGGGGAGAACAGGTCAGTGGGGAGATGACAGGTCAGTGGGGAGAGGATGGGTCATCGGGGAGAGGGTGCTCAGCAGGAGAGGACAGGTCAGTGTTGGAGGGAGAGGGGAGGGTCACCAGCCTGGAGTGCAGACCTGCTGTCTCCTCAGAAGCCCCTGTCCTCCCAGAGTGACCGGAAAACAGGGGCCGCCCCTCTGCCTGACCCCCCCCCCCCGCAACCCCCCCACCCCCCGCGAGCAGGGCAGCCTTGGTGGGAAGGTCAGGGGCATCAGCTGCTGAATACGCTGGCCGGGAAGCTCTCCCTTGGCCCCAGGGTCCATCGGCTCAGCGGCCCAGGTGAGCACAGGGGAGGGCTCTGTCCGGGGTGGGGGTCGGTGCCCAAGTCCAGCCTTCAGAGCCTCTCCACACCCTGGCCTGCCCACCCTAGCACACACAGGCCACAGGGGATATCTGTATGGAGGGCGGACTGACCCCCAGCCCTGCTGGAGAGTGAAAGGCACCAGGCAGTGTGGCTCACGTGGTCTCTGTCCAACATGTGTGGAGCATCTCAGGGGCCCTTCCCAAGTCTGGTCTCTGCAGCTGCATGTGGCCTTGCGGTCCGAGGGAGAGGCCATTCTGCAAAGGACCCCCACCACACACACACACACACACACACACTGGCCCAGGCTGGGTCCCCCATCATGGGATTTTCTGGAATGATGGGACCGGGCTCTCGGCCGACAGCTGTGTGTGTGTGACAGCGGCAGGAGCACGGGACTGTCCTGACAGAATCTGGTACAACAGACCGTGTAGGAAGCAGGCTGGGACACAGAAGAGATTCTGCAGAGCCCCCATACAATCTGCCCCGCGCTGGGCACCTCGCCCCCTACTTCCACGACAGCTGCTGCAGCCGGCCAGGTGCATCCGTTTATTTCCTCCAAACAAGACCAGACACCCCAGCTGGGACCGTTCCAGAAGCACCGGTCTCGCCCTGCAGCGTCCAGGCGCGGGGGTCTCTGCAGCCCTCGGCTCTTCCCGAGGCAGAGGGGCCAGCGGCGGGGTCGGGCCGCGCTGCCCCGTGGTCACCGCTCCTGCCGGCCGTGCGCCTCGGGCCGCTCCACCGTGACGCTGCCGCGTGGACCCTCCTTCCTGCTCCAGTCCTTGTCGCTGTAGAACTCGGCCAGCACGGGGCAGTGCTCTGACGCCACGCCGCCCCACGACCAGCTGTCGGGGATCCAGGGGTTCGTGAGTCCTTCTCTCACCACCGCCCAGTGACCTGCAGGCCGGGGAGGACAGCGGTCAGCGGCGTGGACGGGGGTCACCTTGCAGCTGACTCGCCCGATGAGCTCTGCCCTCTTTCCAAGCACCCCTCTGAGTGACCGGGCAGGCTCTCTGGGACACACCCCGCCCCGAGTCTGTGGTCGTGTTCATGTCTCTTCTTTCTAGAAGGTATTTATTTAGGACGGGGTATGTGCCTGGCAGCGCTCAGGGCTTCCTCCTGCTCCTTCTCAGGGGAGGGGGTGGAAGCCGGGCCACTGTGTACCCACCTTCGATGGCTCTAGCCCACACTCGAGTCCTGTCTAAAGTACCCCCTCAGGTGGCAGTGTGAGTGGGGTCTGCTCCGGGCCCTAGGGGAGGCAGGGGGAGCTCAGCTGCAGTGGACCATGCAAGTAAGGGGCCCTTGTTTGAGCCTGGGCAACACATAAGTACCTCCCCACCAGGTGCTGCCCCTGAGAAAAAGCTGGGAGTGGCCCCTGAGCACCCTCAGGTAGCACAAGTGAGACAGAGCTGAAGAAAAGACAGTCCCTGTGCTAGTGGCCCTCAGGGACGTGTCCCTTCACCCCTGACTGCTGCTCCCCGAGGCTGCTCTGCTGGGTAAACCTCGTGTCCCCACTGGAAGGGACAGGGTTGGAGCAGTGTTTGCTGAGTGACTCCCGGACACGCATCTCTGCAGCCTGCAGCCCTGTCCAGGTCTGCTCACACACTCTCAGCCTGCCCACAGCATCTCAGATTGCCTGTGCTATGGATCTGTGAACGTCTTTCAGTTATTTCCACCACGCTTCCCACTATACAGTGGCCACTTTCTGGGGAGAGTGAGAAATTCCCATGGACAGGATGGACACCCGTGGGTGCCCACAGGGAGCCTAGGATCGCTCCCGACCGCTGGGAACCCCCAGCTCCTGCAGCTTCTTCTACTCAGATGCAGAGCAGGAGAAAGGGCAAGGAGAGCTTCATCACCTGTGAAAACCTTCTTCAAGCTTTTACTGATCCAGATGTTGTCCAGAGACCTTGAGCCTTGTGGGTTCTTGGTGCTGATGTTGGTGAAGGTGTGTGCGGGCACCAGCGGCTGGCACTTCTCTTTTCTTAGGATGTCATGGTCGCTGCTGTCCGGCCCCTGCCCAAAGTCCCCCAGAACAATCACATCCTTTTCTCCTGGAAGCGAAGAAAAGAAAACTGGGTTCAGAGATGTGGCAGCAGAGGCCACGGTCTGTACACTGAGGCAGGGCCTGAGACCAGGTCTGCCCCTCGGACCTCCAGCTCCCGTTCCCCTAATCCCTCAGTTCCCCGTCACCCACCGGGCCAGACTTGAGGTGGGTTTTGGTGGGGTGTATAGAGTGGAACAGCAGTTCAGCTCTAGGGGTGCAGTCTGCACACAGCAGCTTTGCCACGAGCCACCCCATTTCTCCTGAGAAATGCAATCGGGGAAGAGCTTCCACAAGCACCTCCCGGACAGAGGTGCCGTAATATCTCTCCTGACAAGGTGGGTCCGAATCTGTTTCTGGTCACTGTGTGTTCAGGGGCCCTTCTTGGTGACCCCCACACTGGGTGACATTAGACCCACCATTTCAGTTTGCATTAGAATGGAAAAGACCGAAAGAAAGGTATGGCTCAGGTATCTTCTGAAATATCAACAGACATTCACTGGCGTGCCTGTCCAGTGCTGCGTGCCTGGGATTTGGACAAGACTAGAGCAACAGGGCACAGACGGGCACAGACACAAGAGCAGCACAGGGACCGGAGGTTAGAGGGCAGCCCGGCAGGAAGCAGCGCCCAGTCGAGCTGTAAAGGCTGCATGAAGAGGCGGGGTCCGCATGGCCATGGGAAACCCGGGCAAGAACAGCCTGTCAGCGTGGTGTCTGGAGCAAAGAGGCTAAGGACACATTATTCCGGTGGCTGAAAGGCTGCAGAGCACTGGAGAGAGGTATAGGTGTAAGATGGAGTGCTGGCCAGCTACAAAAAAAGAAAAAACATGTTTCCAAGTGCAGCAGAATGGAAGGAGCACAAGGGAATTAGGCAAGGTGAGGTCAGCCGCAGGGGCTGGGTGATTTCTGGTACATGCAAAAGATAAAAAGTGATGAATGGACAGGACAGAGAGAGCAGTGGCTCCTGAGAGCAGAATGCCAGGACCAGAGGAGGAGGGCGTGGGCGAAAGACAATAAGAAGACAAGGGTGTGCGAGCATGAGAGGGAGGGGATGGAGATACAAAAGAAGAAACGTTGGGGGGATTGAGCAACACCCAGTGCTCTGAGCTCGGAGATTCCTCCTGGAGGGGCTCCAGGGACCTTGTGTGGTACCTGAGATTGAACCCGGATCGGCCACATGCAAGGCAAGCTCCCTCCCCGCCGTACTATCTCTCCAGCCCCTGAAACAAAACTGTAAAAGAGACAAGCTGCCAAAGTTGAGGGGGAGTCCCGAGATGCGAGTGGCAGCCCCATATCTGGGGGCGTGCGACCGTCTGTGGACCCTGGGGAAGGGTCCCAGCACTCGGGAGCCACTCTTCAGATGGGTAGCAGGAGGCTGCGTCTGAGGTGGGCCCAGGACCGCTTCTCTGCTGCCAGCCCTGTCCGCACTACCCGCCCGCATCATGCTGGCCCCGCCCCTGCGCAGACCAGATACCAGCAACACAGGCCCCTGGATCTGGGCGTCACTTTAATTACTGGGGGCTGACCCACACTCTTGCTTTCCCAGTTACTGATTTGTAAATTTTTTTTTTGTAAGAATGGATCCTTAGATTTGCAAATGCCCTCACACCCATCCCCCAGGCCAAGGGCACTATGCATTCTGCCTCACCCTCCCCAGATAAGCTCCCCTCCCACACATGCCCTGGAGGCCTGGGGGAGAAAAATGGCCCCAGATACCCACAGGCCACCTGCCCATGTGAGCCTGGGCTGGCCAGGCCTGGCCACACGCAGACCAAGCCTGTGGCTTGAACAGATCTACCCCTGCTAACTGGTCTAACCCTACTGCCAGCTGAACTGGGCCTCTGGACTGGTCATTCGTTCTAAGCAGGGACACAGCAAGTGTGAGTCACCGTCCATATCTGCACAGGTCAAAGTGGAACTGAGCTGAGATCATCGCCAGCTGGAACAAAACCTGTCCACTCCCTGGATATCAGATAAGAAAAACAGTTCTGTTAAGGCTAAGGCTATTAAAGAAGTTATGAATGGGCACTTTCCCTTTCTGTTTGCATGTTCAGGAAAAGCTAAGAAAGAGAACAATCGAAATGGCCACAGACTTTAAAAGCTGTGATGTCTTCCTGTCCAGCAGCCAGAGACCGAGGGCAAATGTTTCCATCCAGCCGCTCTGGGAAGGAGCGCTCTACATAAGCACCCCGCGACTGTTTTAAACCCTGAAGTATGTTCATGTAATGAAATGTTGGTTGTAGCAAGCCCTGCTTTAAGAAATCAGCGGGCTGACTGAACACATGAGCAACTCTGTAAGAACTGTGTATCTCATGGTGATTCAAAAAAATTTTTTTTAGAAAACAAAGAAATCAGCTGGTACAGCAGCATTACTCACAAGAGCTGAAAGAGGGAGACAAAAGAAGTGTCTCTCAGTCTGATGAATGGATGCACAAAATGGATGGTCCCTCTCTGTGTGTAAACATAATGAAATAGCATTTTCCCTTAAAAGGAAAGAAATTCTGACATATTTTATGATGTGAACCATGAAGCATAATGTAAGTGACATAAGCCAGACAGAAGGACAAGGGTGATTCCACCTATACGAGGCTTATGTTTTAGAATGTTCTAGAATGGCCAAGTCTGCAGAGGCAGAACACAGAATGGTGACTGCAAGGGCAGGAGCGGGGGAGGATGGGGGGCTGGCAAAAGTTTACAGTTTGGGATGAGAAAAATGCTCTGAAGACGAATGACGGGAATAAAACAACAATGTTAATGCAAACAAAACTATGAGCTGCACGTTTAAAATGGGATATTGGAAAATTTACATTATGCATTTTTTGCTATAACACAAAATCTTTTGAGATGTACAGGCTGTGGTTTAACAAGGAAAAAGGCTTGGAAAGCTCAAGAATACTGATCCAGAGCTCAGAATATGGAGGAGAACCCCAGCGCCTGCAGCCTCACCCAGAGTCAGTGCCGAAAAACTGAATGGAGAAGCCCGTGTGCAGAGAGGGTGCCAACGTCACTGCCCTGCGGAGTCCGGGACTCAGTGCTCACTCGGGGTCTCCGGGCTCTGCCAAGTCAACTCACCACGTGGGCTCCTCTTCGGAGCCCTGCCAGAGCCTGGGGTCCCTGCAGAGTCACCCAGGGTGGGGCTGCTGTGGCTTCAGGGGCTGCAGCCTGCCCTCCCGGGAGCTCTCCAGGCCCGGCCGACTTCTGTTCCCTGCGGAAGTGGCTCCCGCAGCCGCAGCAGGCCCTGAGCTGCTGCAGCTCTCACGGCGGGTCAGCTCTGCTCCCCATCAGAGGTGGCAAGACCCCCGGGCTCCTGTCAGAGCGCTCATGCTACGCTCCCAGAGGCACAGCTGTTGCCTAGAGAGCTGTGATGTGCTGTGCATACACACAGCTCGGAGTGGGAGGGCTGACCCCGGGGACAGGCACTGGACGAGAGGTGCTGTGGGCCGGGCCCTGAGAGACACCAGGACGGTATGTGGCCGCCGCCAGCAGGGGAGGGGACGGTGCACGGCCGCCACCAGGAGGCGCGGTGGGCCCGGCCCTGAGAGACACCGGGACGGTGCGCGGCCGCCGGCAGGGGGCGCCGTGGGTCTCACCTTTCAGCGTCTCCTGCAAAGCCTGCGCGAGGCTCGCCAGGCGGGCGCCCTCGCTGTGGCTCCTGCCCGGGTTGTCGCTGCCCGCGGAGGCGGGGGCCAGCAGGTGCAGGTTCACCAGCGTCACGTCGTTGCTCCCCACCTGGCTCGGCAGCAAGCAGAGGGTCAGGCGTGTCCCGGCTGGCCCGGCGTCAGCGTGTCCTGCCCCTCCGTGGGTGCGGTGGGCGCGGCCGGTGGCCAGGGCGGGAGCGGGCAGACCTGGGGACGGGGCTGCGCGGGCACCCGGCGGCAGGAGGGCGCGAGGCAGCCCCGGCTGTCCCCTGCACACGGCCGGGCCGCCTGACCCGCCGTCTCCCTGCCCTGGGACTCCCGCGGGCCGCCGCAGGGCTGAGCACCGAGAGAGGGGCCACGGGACCCCGGAGCGGCGAGCGAGCTGCCGTGGACCCGAGGAACCTCAGGGGCGTCCCCCAGGGAGCTCTGTGGGACCCGGGGACCGTCAGGGGCGTCCCCAGCCCTGCAACATCGGGTCCCTGGAGCGCGTTGGGGGATGGTCACGCCTGAGCCTCGGTCAGGGCAGGCCAGGAGCAGATGCCCGTGGGAGCTGGTCACTGAGGCAGGTGCCCCCCACCAGCCACCCTCCAGGGGCCCATCCGGGGCGCAGCGGTGGGGGCGGGGAAGGACAGGTAGCGGGCAGTACCTTGAAGCGGGCCAGGTAGGGGCTGCAGCCCTCGGCACGCCCGTGCCCGTTGCCTGGCGAGCTCTCCTGCAGGGCGGCGTCCCGCAGCTCCACCCCGGCCGCAGCGTCCCACAGGAATCCTGAGAAGGAGAAGGCACCCCCCTGCGGAGCGAGGGCGTCAGCGAGGGACAGCGATGGGCCCCTCCGCTGGCCCGGGCTCTGAGCTGGGTGGGGGCCCTGGGGGGTGCAGCTTACAGACATGTCTTGCAGGAGACTGGACTGGGGAAACTGAGGCTCAGAGCTGACAGCGGTGGGAAGCTGGCTCTCCTTGCAAACAGGCACTGTGTGCTGGGTGCATTGGCGGGCCCAGAGCTGGATGTCCAGTCTGGTCACCCGGACAGCTGAGGTGCCCTGAGGGAGGGGCCAGGCGCCCAAGGAGCAGGCTGGGCCAGCTGGGCAGCCAATGTGGAATGAATGAGCACTGCATGACGCCCCGCCCGATGGTCCCTGGGGCCTCATGGAGCTGCACCCGGTCAGCAGGAAGGGCTGCGGGGCAAGGGAGCATAGGCTGCATTTGTGCATGCAGGGGGGCCCGGGTTTGAACCCCATATCTCATGATTCCCCAGGAAGCCTCAGGTCTGACACTACACACACACACACACACACACACACACACACACACACACACACACGCACACAGACATACCGCACACATACACAACACAGACAGATACACAGACACACGGACACACACCACACACAGGCACACACAACACACAGACACACAGATACATGGACACACGGACACACATCACACACACAGACACACACACCACAGACACACAGAGGCACATAGAGATATACAGAGATACACAGACACAGATATAGACACACACAGAGAGACAGGAGGGAGGGAGGGTGGGGAGAAGGGCATCACACAGTGCTGCCTGAGGGCTGAGGGGCAGGCCCCTGACAGTGGGGGCAGGGGACATGCTCACTTTGCCTTCATCTCAATCCAGCTGATGGGGCCCTGTGGGAGTCACACTCCCGGAAACTTGCAGCAGCGGAAGGGAGCGGGGTGCCACTTAGGGCCTCGAACACTGGCAGCTGGCATGGGTGCAGGAGAAGCCCTCAGCTCAGGCCAGCTCACAGATGCCTCTATACTCCCAGAGGCATAACAGACATAAAAACGCAACGTCTGAATTTTCTGAAAAATGATGCAGTGAGGCTGCTTCAGCATGGTAAGTCGTCAGGGGTCTACTCTGCCATGGGGGCAGAACAGGGCACCCAAACAGGGAAAATATAGGAAGCCACAGCTGCAGGTGCCTGAGTGACCTGTCCCAGCACCTGAAGCTGTTCGAAGGGACTCTGGGTCTAGTCCTGCGAATGCGACAGGGACTGACTCTGCAGGGCTCTCTGGGGCTCTGGGAATGGGACCAAGGGCAGGATTTCTCCTGCACACTGACACGCTAAGCCTCTGCGCCAGGGTGTGGTCCCCACAGAACACCCACGGACAGGGACCAGAATGAGGCACAGATGGGAGCGGGGGCAAGCACCCACCTTCTGCAGCTGGCAGGACGGTGTCTCGGCTACCACGGCCTTCCAGCTACCCCGCGGGCCCTTCCACTTGCGGATGTTGGGCAGGATGGGCTGGTTCAGCTCTGCACAGAACTGGAGACGGAAGGAGAGTCAGTGGGTGTGCGGCCCCTTCAGGCTGGTCCTGGCACCTCTGAGAGCTGGAAAGCGGCTGGATCAGGACTCGCCAGCCTTGTCTGCACCCCCATGACCCCCAAATCAGCGTGGGAGAAGACCCAGGCACTAAACGAGCATCACACATTAAGAGAAAACCAAGGGCTAGTGGTGGGGGGCTCACTGGCTGGTACTGCAGGGCTCCAGAGCACTGTTGGGGATGAGTCCAAGGCCTGTCAGGTGTGACTCCTGAGCACTATTGGGTGTGACTCCTAAGAACTGTCAGATGTGTCTCCCAAGCACTGTTGGGTATGACTCCTGAGTACTATCAGGTGTGACTGCTCCTGAGCATTGTCAGGTGTGACTCCAGAGCACTGTTGGGTACACCCAGGTTATCACGGAGGCCTCTGTTCACGCGGATGAACTCTGCAGCAGAGTCAGTGGGTTGTCAGAACCAGAAGCCCCCTGGAAAGCGCCCCGAGGCAGTATCTCGAAGTCCTGAGGCGGCTTGTCTGTGCCCACAGCATCACTATGTCCTTTGTGGAGCCCCAAGTCTCCCCCTGTACCCAGGAAGGCGTCTGTGAAAAGCCCTTTCAGCAAGAGCCTCAGTGCTAGGCCTCATGGGCCTCCCCCTGCCACCCTTGGACGGTCTCTGGGGCTACCGCACGGGGCACATTCCACAGTGCCTGGGCTGGGTGCTGTGCTGGGTCTTCCCCTCCCAGAGGCGGCCTCATGCCTCGTGTCCAGTCTGTGGTCACTCAGTGACCGTGCATAAGCCCACAAGAGCACGGGCACAATCACACTGCCCTGGATAAGATGGCAGGGTCCTGGTGGCCACGGGAGCCATGTAGTGTCCACTGCGAAGGCCTGTAAGGAACACGGGCTTGTCAGCTGGGGCAGGGATGGTTCTTTCCTTGCGTGTGGCCAGTCTGGTTTGATTCCCAGCACCCTATGTGGTGATCCTTGAGCACAGGGTCAGGAGTCAGCTCTGAGCACTGTCAGGGGTAGCCCCCAAACAAACAACCAAAGAAAACTTCCTTCAAGAGGGAAAACAGCCCAACAGACTCCCAGGCTTCCCGACCCGATGACGCTTGAGGCCGGGTCTGGCCCCTGCCTGTGGTGTGGACCCAGGTTCCAGGTGGCATCACAGGACGGAGGAGAGTTTTTAACGCGTTTCCCTTACACTAACCCCCAGAGACCCGGGGCTGGGAGTCTCTGAATGCACAGAGCCGAGTGACTGCAGATGTCCAGTCTGGTCCGGGGGCCTGTCCACCCTCAGCAGGAGGGCTGATGGGAGGCAGTGGGCACCTCCCAGGACGCCCTCTGCTCTCTGGGTTCCATCATGTTCATTGGTACCGTTTCCATGATTAGGGCCTGTCGGCCTTTAGTCTTACACATCTCAGGCCCCTCTCTACCCAGGAGTGAGATCCCCCAAACCCACGCACACCCCCTTTCCTCTCAGCCTCATCTGTGGGGCCCTAATGGGTTCCCTCAGCTACTGCAGGCCCCACCCATGTGCCATGTTTGCTGCTGAGGATGGTTCTGATATGGCCTTTTCAGATGACGGTCCCTGTTCTGGGAGAAGGCCTCGGGCTGCGGTTCTGGGTCATCAGGGCTGCACGTTAACACTGGCACAGCACCTCACTCTGTCAGCTGGGAGATGGCATCCACGGACCTTGTAGCACTGTAGCGCTGTCCTCCCATTGTTCATTAATTTGCTTGAGCAGGCACCAGTAACGTCTCCATTGTGAGACTTGTTGTTACTGTGCTTGGCATATCGAATACATCATGGGTAGCTTGTCAGGCTCTGCCGTGCAGATGGGATACTCTCGGTAGCTTGCCGGGCTCTCCAAGAGGGGCGGAGGAATCGAACCCGGGTTGGCCATGTGCAAGGCAACCGCCCTACCCGCTGTACTATTGCTCCAGCCCTCTACAGACATTGAAGGGTCCAAATTTCTGGGGAGGAGTGTTTGCCTTGTTTTAACATTTAATCACGAAGAATTACAAAGTGATTCACGGTTGAGTTTCAGGCATACATTTTCCATCATGGGTCTTTTCACCAGTGTCCACTTCTCTCCACCCTTGTTCCCTCCCTACTCCCCAGTCTGCCTTTAGGCTTTTTTTTTTCTTTATCTTTTCCTTCCTGCCCCTCAGGCACTGTGGTTTACAAGAGTCACTACAAGTAGGGCTAAATGCACGTTACTTTCCCTCCACCCAGCACCCAGTCCAGGTCTGCAGTGACCACTTCTCACTAGCATCATCACAGGGGTCCCTTCCCTGACCTGTCCTCTCCGCCACCTGTGACAGCCTCCTCCTAGGCTCAGGCCTCCAGCTCGTGCCTCTCTCACTGCTGGGCCTCATCCTGCCTGGTGCCTCTCTGCATCCCCAGGAGTGAGGTCAGTCAGCAGAAAACCCGGCGTCTCCCTCTGCGTCTCGGGCAGCGAGCACGTGTGGGTATAAAAGCCAGCTCGGGCGGCAGCTATGGTCAAGGCAAGGAGCACAAGATCCACCAGCAAGGCCGGAAAACATGTATAGTCCACCCAGACCCATACCTCCATAGGCCCCAGGGGCACACAGATGCCCCCACAGTGTGTGCCCACGGCCCAAGGACAGCATATTCCCAGGCGGTGAAGGGGGATGGCCCGCGGAGGCCAGTGGGAAGGCCGGGCCCAAACGCAGCTTCAGTGAGATGGTGCAGCTCCTGTGCCCACTGTGGCTGGGCAGGCCTGGGGCAGACCACCTGTCCTGCCTCTGAACTCTGCTCTCCCAGACATCTCGCAGGGAGACAAAAGCTCCCCAGCCTTGATGGGAACCATCTGAAAATTGTTTTCCTTAGAACAGTTGGTTCCCAGATTCTCTGCCTCGCCCACATACCAGAGACATAATCAGCTCATAATAAAAGTGACTCGCCAGCTTAGAGGACAGACAGGCAGTGGAGGGTCTTCTGGGACATGCGCACACCCACTGGGGCCCAGTCACGCCACAACCCAAACCTTGACCCCACTGACGGGCGCCAGGACTTGGGTATAGGGCCACCATCCCATGCCTCAGTTTCCTCACCTGGAAGGACGGGCTGGAGACGAGTCAACCCCATGGACTGGGTATTGGGGGACCCCGAGCACAGGTATTCATGGACACATGGGACCCAGCCCCAAGCGTCCACCGGGGCAGTGAGATTCCTAAGTCACACAACTGAGGCATGGGCAGGGCTGGGCGTGGGAGCAGAGAGGGGACACACTGCAGCCAGGCAGTGCCAGAAGCAGGCACTGCAGGGAGGGGGGAAGGGAGGGGGAGGGGCAGGAGTGGTGGGGAGGGACCAGGACAGGACAGATGGGGAGGGACAGGGCAGGTGGGGAGGGGTGGCTGACAGGGTCAGCAGCCTCTGGGGAGATGGGCCAGAGAGCAGGAGAGGGATCCAGAGTGACAGTCCCTGCCTGGCCTTGGTGAGGCTCAGTGGAGTCTGTCCTGCAAGGCCCCGAAGCACGGGCAGCCCACCCTGACTGTCAGGGGGTGGGGCTCGCCCCTTGGCTCCCCACAGCTCGTCTGCAGGCAGACTCTGTAGAAAACCATAATAATGAGCGGCTGGAGTGAAACTACAGCTGAGAGGCGCTTGCCTTGCACATGGCTGGCCCGGGTTCAGTCCCTGGCATCCCGTATGGTGCCCCAAGCACTGCCAGGAGTGATCCCTGAGTGCAGAGCCAGAGTGACCCTAAGTACTGCTGGGTGTGACTAAACCCTGCCCTCCCTGCCAAATAATTCATATAATCAACAAGCAGGGGCCACAGATGGGGCTCAAGAAGGACCTGTGAGAGGTCTAGTGTCCAATTCCCAGCCTGTAAGACCCAACCCTGAGCAGACTCCCCGGCATCAGCTGTGCAGGGCTCGGAGCAGCTCTGGGCTGTGCTGGCTCCCCACACGGTCCAGGGTGAGGGATGAGGGGTGGACACTACAGTCTCTGGAAACACGGCAGGCCTGAGGTCTGCATGAGAGAGGACTGGTGCAGGCAGCGACCATGCACCCACCTCTTCCTCACCCTGGCCTGCCCCGACCTGACTCTCCGGGAGAGGAGACGGAGTAGCGGGGAATCCGGGACCTGGCCAGGCCAGGGCGGCAGTGGCACCGGGGAAGCTCCAGGTCCACGTGCTCCTGGCTCTGTCGAAGGGACACATTGACGTGCAGCTCCACTGCGTGCTGCAGGAGAGGGTAGCAGGGCTGGTGACATCGATGGCAGGGAGAAGGGACTGGGGTAGTAGGGGGGAGTTCTCCAAAGAGGTGATGAATTCAGCAGACAAAGAGGACAAAAGGAGTTAATTGGGCAAAGAGGCTGGAGAACATCCCAGGCCATAGAAACAGCAGGTGAAAAGGGCCTGTGGTTGGAGCAAATGTGGTGCTTGTGGGGCCCAGACAGGAGATGGCTCAGGGAAAGTCAGGCTGGCACGCAGGGCTTGGGGCCCAGAGGGGTTTGTTCCACATCCACAGGGCACAAAGGACAGCTGTGGGCTGTGGACAGGCCTTGGGGCCACGGTGCTGAGCACAGGCTGGGCAAGAGAGAGAAGGACCGACTGGTCATCAGCAGTAAAGTGGGGAACTGGGCTTCAAAGACCTCGGACAGGCCAGTGGGCTCGGGCACGTGGGAGGGGAACACTGCTCTCCCTGCTCGGGCGGGTGGGTACCTGGGGATCTGCGCATGCTCAGACACTTCCCCGCACAGACCCCATACAGTGGAGAGTGGGGCTCGGCTGTCGGACAGCCTTCCTGGAGGGCGGGGCGGCCCAACTGTCCACTGGAGCATGAACACGAGGATGGGGTGTGTCAGCAGCTGTGGGCCACACAGGAAAACACTCCGAGTGGAAAAGTCACCGCAAAAGGCCGCCAACTGCATGATTTCCGCCAACCCAGGAAACATCGGAAGACGCGAATTCATAGAGGCAGAAAGCAAGCTGGGGGCAGGAGAGAGGGCAGTCCTGTGTTTTTGGATGAGG